GTTGGCTGGCGCAGTGTAGGTCAGACTCATCTACAGCCCTGCCAAATTTCATGTTGACCGGTGCAGCCGTTTTTGTGCTACTGTTGACCAAAAATCTCCGGGGGAAAAAAAATAAAATAAAATTAACAGTACGAGAACAATACGACTCCTGCTTATGCTTCGTGTGTGGGGGTCATAATAAACACAAAATTTTGGTGTGCCATCCCAGAATTTTCACCCTATAAAAATATTCTGGAGGCAGCACTGTGCAGCGCCAAAACACATTTATCACATTTAGCCCCATCACTTAAAAACAGAGCAGTTTGTTTTACTGTGACTGCATGGTGCACGACTCATCATCCTTCCACTGCTGTGGTGGACAACTGGTAGGAAAAGTTTGTGTTGATATTGTTCTAAAAACGTTTTGGTTCATTCTGGTGCAAATTGGCAAAACCACACAGCCAGTTCCTGTTTTAGATTTTTTTTCAATATTTCTTTCAAACAAATCACACTTCTCACTTTGTTCTCTATTTGCACAATAATGAATTTTAACATTAACCCAACAAATCCTCGACTTTGAGGGCTGCTACCCTGCATGTTTTGCTAGTTTCTCTGCTCAAACACACCTCAGTGATTGTTTTATCTCTTCAAGTTCTAAGTTCTGCAGAAGCCTGTTAATCAACCATTCATCAGGTGCTGAACATGCAGGATAGTTAGTGAAACACTGAGATGACTTTACATTTTTTACTAGAGTTTAGCAGTTAAAATTCCCTCTCAAACAACCCTGGTCCTCTAGGACCCCTATCCAGCATGTTTTACTTGTTTCCCTGCTCTTCAGAAGATTGTTCATCACTCAGTCATTCAAACCAGGTGTGTCAAGTCGGGGAAACATCTAAAAATCACTGCTTTAAGTGTTGACCAACACCTCAAGAGCTTCTCCGAGTTTGATGAGACATTTTCAAAATATATTGATTCAATTTTATGTTTTTTTTATTATTGCCTCTGGAAGCCATTGATTCCTTGCCATTTATCTGTAAATAATAAATCAGATAACGTGCTAAAGCAGTGATTCTCAACCCTGGTCCACAAGGACTCCTTTCCTGCATGTTTAGATATTTCCCTGATTTGACACACCTAGTTTGAATGAATGTGTGATTAACAATCTTCTGAAGACCTGCTGAAAAAAGCAGGGAAACAAGTAAAATATGCTGGATGGGGTACTTGAGGACCAGGGTTGGGCAGCCCTGAACCAATAATCTCCATCCTGAAAAAAAAAGAGGCTGCAAACAGAAAACAGCTAAATATAGCTGAGGATAGAAATGTTTTTTGATGCATTTAAAAAAAGTGACTGCTCAACACATAAATGCTCTTTATTAGCTTCTGAACATGCCGTTGCATTGGCTGGTTTAACCCCTTTTTTTTATAAACTGTACTTGTTACAAACTACACCGATAGGCCAAGACATTTTATCTTTCTTACCAAATTCTGTTAACAGACAAAAAAGAAAACAATTGCCCATACAAGTAACACTAAAATGATAAATTATACAGATTATTTTTGTAACTTTTACTCTTATAGTTTTCCCAGAGTATTTTTTTTATTTTTTATGAGATTATGAAATAATCTTTGAACATTTAGTGGACTAAAATGAACTTGATAAACGATTAAAAAAAGGCCTTTGACCAACACCAGGTCTCAGTGGTTTATGTAATCTGATATCAGTGTCCATGAAGCATTATTGTCACTCTTAAAATCAGAAATAAACAAAAAATCTAAAAACTAACATGCCTTTTTTTTTTTTAGTAAATCAGGAGAAATCCAAATTAGCTCAGAGGTAAGACTGAAATCTGCAGTTATGGACATGAAAGTAAACCCACCAGCCTTTTTAAACAGGCAGCTCGTAGGAATAAAACTAAATAAAAATAAATACACAACCAAATAAAACAAACACAATGTATTTGGCAGGTATGCACAAAGTCGGTTTTGTAAACAAAACAACCACACAAACGGCCCTGAAATGCTCCTGATCGTCATGGGTCTGGTTGAAGTGGCAGTGGTTCCATATATCAGGTGGAGTCCTGGGCGCCGAATGATTTTCTCAGCCCTCGAAAGTCTACTTGTGCAACTCTTCAGCTCCTCCCAACATCAGCTATAAATTGGCTAAACTAAGATCAGTCACTGAAGCCTCTGAAGGATGTGAATATTCAAAGAGGCTCATGAACAACTCCATGCATGCAGAGACAAACCCCCTTCCCTTCGTTATCCCCACTGAAACACAGACTACCGGATCCTGGTGAAGAGGTTCAACACTGAGACTGATTCCTAAGAGGAGACAAAAAACATGATTAAACAGAAATATAATAAAACTGATCAGTCCTGAGTGCATTTAAATTAGTGTTAGACAAAGAAATGAGAAACATCTGTACCTTAGTAGATCTCATTTTACTAAAAACGTTCCAAAATCGAAGTGTTTCATCTCCCGCCCCCGTCACAATGGCCTCTCCGTCGGGTGACATGGCCTGCACAAAACTCATCATTACACACAAAGTATACAACCCTGCAGTACTGTGTGATCAGAGTAAACAGAAGTATGCAAAAAAAGGACATACTGGCTCCCTTCAGAAAGTGTTTTTTTCTTTTTTTCTATCATACTCTGAAACTAGAGGGTGGGCGTATCGATATCCAGATGAGTATCGGATCGATGCAAGTTTGACTAAATCAATTTTTTTTTGTTTACACTTTATTTGCACTACAGACTTTATTTTTCCACAAATAACATGAAAAATAAAGTCAGTAGTGTAGAGTCTCCAAACTGTTTGGAGTTCATCATTTGTCATCATGGCCGAGTGCAAGGGAAGGCATTTTTGGGTTGTTACTGACGTTGGAAAATTTATATTTTTGTTACATTGTTGCTTCTTTTATTTGTATTTTGCACTACTGCCTTTTTTCTTAAACAATTGTGTGTAGCAAGAAAATAATAGGGCGCATCGCTTCACCATCTTGGGGAATGTCGGACCTAGCTTGCATCATCAGAGATGCTAATGACGTGTGACTGGACAATGACTGTTTGGGGAAGAGTTATGCTAAAGGTCAATTATTTTATTTATACAGTCAAATCATTTTATTTTGTTGTAGTTAAAACAGTCTTTTTGACTAAAATATTTGTCCTGTTTTATTATAATTGACTCACTAAAAGGCAAAATCACATAATTAATCAATGAACATATTAGTATCAAAGTCTGATATACTAGCCCTGTATTTCTTTGATATCAGATCAATACTAAAATTCTTACTATTGACCACCTCTGTGTGAAACTAGAAGATGTCTTTCATGTAAATGTCAAACAAATATTATTTTAACAAGTTCATATTTGCTTTTAAACTGGACCTACACATGTTTTAAGTTCTTTCAGTGAGCATTAATTATGTTTGTTTCCCATTTTTGGATGAAATATTGCCTTTAAATGATGCTTCCAGTACAGAGTTGTATTTTACATGTAGCTTTGTGAACAGAGAAGTAAAAACGTGTCGTGTTTACTCACTAGGTAGAGCACTCTGTAGGAATGTCCTGTGAGTTTGGCCACTTGAGTTAACGATGGATACTTCCACACCAGTATCTGGTTTTGGGAATAACCGTGTGTACTGACCTGCAGAAAACAGAGTTTTTAACGGAAGCAGGGGTGCTGGTTTTCATATAAACTTATTTTAGCACACAGGAAGGTGACTCACCAGTTCGTTTGTGTGTTTGGACCAGGCTAAGTTGCAGACCTGAGAGCCCGTGTCGGTGCACTGCAAGGGTTGGGCGGTCAGGGTGTTCCAGAAGCGGATGCAGCGATCAGCGGTCCCTCCTCCGGAGGCCAGCAGACCGTGCTGGTGAGGCGACCAGGCGATGGCCTTCACCGCAGCCAAGTGCTCCGTGTACTGCTGCACCGGCAAAACGCTCGAATGGTTCCACACAAGCAGCTGCAGACAGCGGGTCGAAATGTTGAGAGAACAGAAACGCAGGAACAGGTTTGTGATCCGGTGCAGACGTGCAGCTGAACAACAGACAAGTCTCCACCGGTGTACCTTGTTGTCATTTCCACCCGAAGCCAGCAGTTGGTGGTCTGTGCTCCACTTGAGCCCACAGACTTCCTGCCTGTGCCCCTGGAGACGGCGCTCCGACTGGAGAGGTGGCGCTCTGATGTCCCGCTGCAGGATTATGCGATCGCGGCTCCCAGATGACAGCTGGTCCGCGTTCCACGCCAAAGCGCCTGGCAGTGAGGAATGAAAAAGGTGAACCGAAGTGGAATTGATCACTGAACATCCAGAGGCACCGCCCAACAACTGCATGTAAACGAAGGTCTTAACATCGTCATTCTCACACAAGTCTCTGTCAACTCACCCACTCTGGCTGTGTGTCCCTCGAGTACCGAGAGCTTCTTCCCTGCTGCTGCATCCCAAATCTGCACGTAGCCTTTGTGAGTACCCACTGCTACCAGGTTACCCTAAAACACAGAAACACACACATAAATAATACAAAACAAATTCACCCACAATCTAAAACATTGAACACTTTATATGTTGTTATATTTTTTACTAAATTAAATCTACAACAAAATTGCAAAGTTTGGATTGTGTGACAAAACAGTTTTGTTCAACAGAAGGTCTTCAGTAGTAAAACTGAGAAACTTGATTATGAAGTATAGTGTAAATAAAACATTTAAAAACATGGAGACATTACAAGATTGTTTTTAATTTTTTTCCTTTGAATTTGTGTTTTCAATCAAACTTGATATTGAAACAAGTTAGCAGTGGTGGAAATAAAAAACCTACCCTCTCTGACCATCCCACTGATGTTACTGAGTCTCCTTCGACGGAGAGGTCACAAAGACGAGTCACCTAAGAACAGAAAAATGTTCGTCACCGTGAAGTAAACTCGTAGTTTTAAATATACACAACGTAAAGTCTGATTCCTCATCATTCGAGACGCACCTGGCTGGTACAGGCGCTCCACAGGTAAACACAGGTACCCAGGCCAACACTGAGCACGTTTAGAGAGGACCAGTCCACCAGGTTGAGGTAGAAGTCGTCTTGAAGCTCTGGAGCATCAAGAACTTTGAAAGGAATTTTGGAAATTTTACGGGTAGGCTTTCTTGGTGATCGTAGAAGTTTTTGACTGTTAAGACAGAACAAGAGAAATGTAAGAATACTGTTGCACAAGCGATGAAAAATACTATTTAATTAATACCAAAACATATTAATTACCTGTTACTACTGACAGGTGATAAAGAATATGGAGAAACTGAATTTCCATCTTCTTCTGGCAAAGACCTCTTAGTACTTAAGGAATACTACAAAACACAAACAGATGATTACTAATTCGGAAAATATTCCACAAACATCAGAGCTACGTCGTTGGTTTTACATTAAACAGGCTTCTCTTGGCAGGCGTAGAAGGCTGCAATCGACGATCCTCAGACTGGGGGTCCTGGACTTTCTCGATGCCGGCGCCTAGCAGCTCATTTTTCAGCAGAGCCGAGTAAGCGAGACCATCCACTGAAGACAGAGGAGCGGACAGAAGGGAAATCAAACCAGGCTGTCGAAATGATTAAGTTCAGACACTGAACTCCCTCTGCAATTTCACGACACCCTCTCGCACTTCTAAAGATCAGAGACTTTTCTTTTCCCCACTCAGCTATGTTTAGTCCCTTCCTCCTCTAGTCATAAACCTCCCCATGCTCAGTAAACAAGAGAAGGTCAAATTATCAAAATTGACTTGAGTAGGCACAGAAACCTGAGAAATAGAGCTAAAAAGATGAATAAAACTCACACTGAAAGTACAGCTACAGAAATACAGGAAAATCATTTTTAGGAGACGGAAATTAGAAGTATCACCGTTGATTATTTTTTAATAAGTTACCATTGATATTAAGAGTTTTTGCGGAGGTGAATCACAAAATTAGGTTGATTAAGACCCTTATTTTCATATCAATCTATGTCCCTTTCATGGTTTTTATTACAGGTTGCCAAACAAAAATGTAGTTTACTCAGTAATAAAGAAGTGAAGCTCCAGTGAAGTTTAGCTACCCTCTGAATGAATCATCCCCCCACCCCCAAAAAAACTATTTCAAATTTAACACTTCCTGTCAGTTTTGGCAAAATAAATGCTCAAACTTTGAGGCGACAAAATACAGAAAAGTTTAACGTGCAGCAGCCTCACCGAGCTCTGATGGCACATTTTAATTGTGAATTAAAAAATATAATCAATCAGCACAAAAGCAATAAGTTACCTTTGTTGCTGTCGGTGGTACCGTCTTTGGTTTTCCTGTTTTGATTGTGAGACTTTTCAATTTCCTGGATCAGAAAATTAAATCAATCAATAAATAAACCAAATATTTACACGAGTGAAAGTACTGATTTACAAACTGATAGCAAATCAAACAAAAACTAAAAGTAGGTGTTTTTACTTATTTAATTATTTTTTATTGGTCATAATGATCACTTTATTTTGAAAGGATTGTCCTTTTGGTTGGACAGATAGTGAAATCGTAGGGTGTTTTGCAGCAGACTCACATTAATACGGTGGAAGTTGACACTCCAGTTGGCTCCTGCTCGGGAGGGAATGAAGCGATCGCCATGTTTGCTGGGAGAGGACAGTGGGGAGCTGGTGGGTGTCAGAGTTCGCACCGCTCCCACAGCTTTCTACACGATGGGAAGAGGAGAGAGAGAGCGTTTTCTGACAGGGGCACAAACAGAAACTGGCCTTGGACAGTGATTTGAAATCTTAATAACAAAACAGGACGATAATTTATGAGGCAGATGGTGCGTTCATTTGGAGGTGTTAACAACAGGAGGCAGCGATCGCAGCAGCGTCATTTGGCTGGTAAGGTCTTGTTTTTGCTCAGCTCTTGTGACACTGTGAAATAACTGATTTGTTAAAACTTTTTTTTACAACAATATTAGTAACAACCTATCTGCCCGGTTCAAGTCATGTGCTGTTATGACCATCTAAAAAGTGTCTATTAGAGTTCAATACACATGATGATAAATTAATCATACTATTAGAGCAGATGGCCACAGCTCCTGGGCTGCCTGCTGCCCCTTGCGTTCTAAAATCTGGGGCTTGAATTTAAAAAAAAAAGATGCAATCTAATATTTTCTTTTAGTATTTTACTTTTTATAAATACAAATATGATCAAAATGTCTAAGGAAACCAACCTATAATTTGATGGATCTGAACTAACTGAAATGTACTTGCAGTCCCTTGAAATGGCTTTTGTAACATTATGGAGCTACATGAATTAACCCAGCTTATGTAAATACTTGTACAGACACATTGGGCCTCATGCAAGAACCGTTCGTACGCACAGATTTGTTCTTAAGTTGTGCGTACGAGTGATTTAGGAGAATTTGTGGCATTCATCAATGTTTTCGTATTCTACGATTTTTTCAGATACGAACAAAATTCACGAGTGGTCACGAGAAATAATTTAGACTGTAGGGGGTGTTATT